ATGTGTGTGTTGGGTACTGTGTTCATTTCCTAGGGCTGCCATAAAGACTGCCGTAAACTAGGTGGCTTAAAACAACAGAAATATATTCTCTCAGTGCTGGAGACTGGAAGTCTGAAATCAAGGTTCTCACAGGCTGGAAACTGGTTCTCACAATCTGGAAACTGGAAGTCTGAAATCAAGGTGTCTGATACCCAGGTAGCGCCCCCTCCCAAGGTTCCCAGGGAAGAATTCTTGCTTGCCTCTTCCAGTTTCTGGAGGCGGTATCACTCCAGACTCTGCCACCATCTCCATGTGGCCTTCTCCTCTGTGTCCGTGTCTTCTCCCTTTCTGTTTCTCATAAGAACACGCTCATTTAGGACCCACCAACTAATCTAGAATGATCTCGAGCCCCTTGATGACATCTACAAAGACATTTCCCCCCCAAATAAGATCACAGTCACACAGGGTTAGGATTTGGACATATATTGTTGGAGGAGGCACTCTTCAACCTACCACAGGGACATTGTGTCAGACAGAAGTTTCACATTACAGGTCATGGAATATGACCCTGTAAAGGTCAAGGCAGGTGCTCACTGACCCTGAAGGGGCTGAAGCTGAGGAGTCTGGGTTAGACCCTTGAAGCGAGCGTGGAGCTGTTGATCAGATTGGCAGTCCGCCTGTTGTGGAGAGTGCCAGGTTCATCCTCAGAGGAGTTGGTGAGAGTAGGGAGGGGGTGGGGGGCAGGAATAGGGAGGGATCCGGAATGACTCCTAGGAAGAGGCTGAGCATGAGGTTCCTGAGGATGAAAATGTCCAGGAGACAATCAGAAACACCCGCGGCCCAGACCTCTCCCTGGAGTATAAATAAGCCCAGAGGGAAGTGGAGTAAGGCTGGCAGGATCCTGGAGAGTACCAGGAGTTTTTTCCTCCACCATCTCATTAAGAAAAATTTCAAACACAGAGAAAAGTTGCAAGAGTTGTACAGTGACCTCCGATTTTCCTGCTCTATAGAGGCGGTCATGAACATTTTTCTATACTCGCTTTATTACCCGTCTGTCCTCTGAACATCAGCAATCCATCTTATTTTTTATATATTTCAGAGTAAGTTGTAGACAGCAGCACCTTTCACCTCTTCAGCATGCATCTCATTAACTAGAGTTCCGTATCTAGTGAAATGCACACATCTTAAGTGTACCACTTGATCCCTTTTGATGAATGCATTCACTTGTTTACCCCCAATCCCTGTCAAGATAAAGTACTGACTGAGCACAGTGGCTCATGCCTCTAATCCCAGCACTCTGGGAAGCGGAGAAGGGGGAATTGCTTGAAGCCAGAAGTTTGAGACCAGCCTGGGCAACATAGTGAGACCCTGGATCTACAAAAAATTTAAAAAATTAGCCAGACATAGTGGTGCATGTTTGAAATCCTAGCTACTCAGAAGACTGAGGCAGAGGGCTCCCTTGAACCCAGGAATTAGATGTTTCGGTGAGCTATGAATATGCCATTGTACTCCAGTCTGTGTGTCAGAATGAGATCCTGTCTCTTAAAAAAAAAAAAAGATACAGAGCATTTTTATTAGCCCAGAAAGTTCCCTTGCGTTCATTATAGTCAACTCTTCCTAACCCACCCCACAGAGGCAACCATTATTTTGATTTTTTTTTCCCAAACATGGGCTAATTTGTCCATTCTAGAATTTCATGGAAGTGGACGCTCTTTTGTGATGTGCTCTTTTGTATCTGGTTTCTTTTACGTAGTATAATGTCTGTGAGAGTCATTTATGTTGTTGCTCCTTGTTATTGCTGAGTAGTATTCTATTGTGAGGACTCATATGGAACACCAGTTTTTAAGGTATTGGCAGAGAAAGATTCCGTCAAGGAGACTGAGAGGGAACAGTGAAGGTCATAGGAGAAAGAGCCAAACAGGGGTGTCAGGGAAAGCCGTCTGATTCAGTCAGGGTTAGGCTTGGCTGCATACAACATACAAACTAAATAGCAGTGGTTTAAATAACACTGGCATTTTTTCTTTTCTCTCATGTAAAAGAGTCTGGAAGCAGGCCATCTCAGGGTGGTATGGGGTTCCATTGTGCCCTCAGTGATCCAAACACCTCACTTGCTGCTCAGCCATCTTCATTACTGTCCTCTAGCCACTAGTTCACTTCATGGTTCAATATGGCTGCTGGAGCTCCAGCCATCCCATCTACTTTGTAATTTGGCAACAGAAGGAGGAACAAGGGGTCGAGGAAAGTGTACCTTCTAGCTAAACCAGTCACTTTCATCAGCCTTCCTTAAAGTTCCACACATATTCACTTAATATCTCACTGGCTAGCACTTAATCACATGCCCACACCCACTAGGGAAAGAAGTATTCTACCTAGCCACTGGGTGCACTGCCACTCTGTGTATAATGGGTTTTCTGTTACTGGGAGGGGAAATGGGTGTTGGCTGTCAGCAGCCTTGTCTGTCTTCCCTTATTTTGAGACCTGATGGGCAAGCCATGGTCCCCTCAGCATTCTCGCCTGTGGCCTTCTGTGACTGAAACCTGTGCTTAGCAGGTTTCCATCTTTCTTGGGTCCTTGCCTTCTCTGAGAGTTGGTTTCTCTGTCTTTTTCTGTATCCCTTTTCCTGGTGGGAGTCTCCTGGGCAGGAATGAAAGGTGAAGGATCTGGGAATGATTGCAGAGAGCTTTAGGGGCCCCCTCCCACTCCTGGTCCCCCCTCCTGTGGGTAGGGGTAGCCCTCATTCCCTTCTTTGGTCTCTAGACAAAGGGGGCTGTCAAAGGAGTCTTCACTGGAGTGAGATTCAGAGGGACAAGGATGGCATCTGGAGACGGATAGACAGAGTTGGGTTCAGATCCTTTCTCTGACCTCAGACAAGTGTCTCTGAGACTCAGCGACCTTGTCTGTAAATTGGAGAGAGTAAGAACCGCCTCACAGAGATGTGGTTAGGCTGGAAGGAGCAGGAGACTGCAGGTCCATGGTCTGGTAAAGATGGACTATGCACACGTGGGGAAGACGGCAGAGATCTCCGTGCCCCACAGGAAGCGCCAGGCTGTGCAGTGGAGGAGAGCCCCACCACTTTCCCTGTGGTCCCTGCTCCCCTTGCCCCTGGGAAACGGCTCACGCGTGAGGGCTCTGTCCCCGTGACTCCGGGGAATTGGTCGTTGCACAGGAGCTTCTGCATGGCCTGCTGGAATCTGAGTTGTTGGCGGGGCCAGGGTCCACCATTGTTGCTTCCCCCATCATTGCTTGCCTTGGAGGGCAGTCTGGAGCCTCCAGGAGAGACGGCAGGCTCTCGTGATGTCTCCATTCCCTCCTGCGCATCTCCAAAGTGAGTGGGTCTCACCAAACTGCCAGGCCCCCTCACGGTGCCAGGCTCAGGCAGACTGGAAGCTGCTCCTCCTCCTTCCCCTGCCACCTGGGAACACCAGCGTCTGCTCACGTTTCTCCAGTCACGGAAAACAGGCCTTGTGGGCTCCGAGGCAGTGGGCCCTAGTTCCCGTGTGCACAGCATACAACATCTCAGCGGCTGGAGTGTCCCTGGGTCCTGTGGGTCTTCCTGCGCATGCCCATGCCCCGACAGCTTAATGGGCCATCAGTTCAGGGACTAGGAGAGACAGGCTGCAGGAGCAGGTGCAGGGAGCCCAGGGGACATGCTCGGCTGCCAAAAGGCCAGATTGGACTGAGTATGGCTGTGGCCGGGCGCCCTGGTGACCTGTTGACACCATTCTCAGGCTGCCGGCTGCCCGTGGGCTGGTGTGTTATGACAGAAGAGGAGGAGCCAGGGCTCCTTGTAGAGAACTTGGCTGGCTAGGACCTGGCTCAGACCTCAGACCTGAGGTGACGGTGCGTTCCTCTGCTCATCTGCTCAACCCACGCAGAGTTATGAGAGCCTGCCGCATGTTGGTCTGTGGGTGCTGGCCACACAGTGGTGACTCGGACACCCCGTTCCTGTTCCAGGAACAAAGAACCAGGACCCATGAGGGCACCAGGAGCCCATGTGCTATAGGAGTTCTGAGCTGGGATAGTAGGGAGGACAACCTGGAGGAGGTGATGTTTGAGCAGATGTCAGGGCAGGCCCAGCCATCCTCCTCCATCACCCTGGGCAAGTGGGCAAGATTCCTAAGATGCCTAGCCCAGGAATCCCACCCAGAAGATGCCCAGGGAGTGTTCAACAAATTGCTGCTGCAGGGCAGGCCAGCATGCAGGAGACTGCGGCCCTGAGGGGAAGACTGCTCTTGTGACCATTGTCTCCAGGACCCCCTGTCGTACCTGCTCTTATTGGTCTGCAGAGGCGCTGAGTCTTGGTCAGTGACAAGTGACAAGTGGCGTCTCCACCCCTCCAGGTGGTGGCCCCAGCCCAAGGAGGTCCAAGATGGTCACCAGGAAGCAGCACCTCCATGTCCTCCATTCCTGGTTTCAGAGGTCAGGGCTGAGGGAGGCAAACAGGCCAAGGAGTGGGGATGTAGGGGTGGGAGGGACCCTCACGCCACCACGGGAGAGAGCCATGCCGGTGGGGCTGGATGCAGCGGCCTTTCTGAGGCTCTCAGAGTGAAGTCCTGAGACTCTGTCTTCCCTCCCCTCCACGGGCTCCCTGCATTGGTCCAGCCTGCTGTCCCGGGAGGCGGCCTTTGTGCGTGGGCTCTGGAGCCTGAGTGGTGCTGGCAGCCCCAAGGGGGTTATCACAGCTCAACTTCCCTGTCGCCCTTTCTTCCCTCCTCCTATGAAGGAAGCCCACATTGAAATTATAGAAATAAGTGCTGGCTTCTGAGGAGTCTGCTGTGCACCCATGTCCCTGCCAGGCCTGGGCACAGCCTCCTCGCCCACGCCCTGCTGCCTTGGGCTCCGTCCTCTGTGCGGGGCCTTGTTCCGAGGGGCGAGGGCTCCCCTGGGGACGCTTTCTCAACCCTCCACCCCCAAATCTGCTCTGGTCCCCTGGAGGGATTGGGCTCAGTGTACAAATGGTACCCAAGGAGGAGGGGCTCAGGAAGTGACATCGCTTGGCCCGCCCCCACCTCCTTATTCCCTATAAAAAGCAAAATGGTGACTCAGAGAGGAGAGTTGGAAGCGTCCTGCCTCCTGCTCCCACTGTTAATTTTTAGACTTGGAATTAGGCAGAAGGCAAAGGAAACAGCAGCACGAAATACGCGACTGACATGCTATTAAGCGGGTGGCAACAGCAGAGCCGCGCCTCCCCGACTCCCAGCAGCCTCTGAACGTGCAGAGCCAGTGCCTGCTGGCTCTCCCCGGCCCCCCCGTCAGGCCCCTGGCCCCGTGCAGCCCCTGCCTGGGCCGGGCGTGGATGGTGCGGCCGGGGTCATGGCAGCTGGGGGCCGCCGCCGGCGCCCACTGCGCTACCAGTCCCTGGCAGCCCTGGTGGAGGACTCTCAGTGGCCTTTCTTGTTCCTTGTCGCAGACTTCAGCTACGGGGCAGACGACGACGACGGAGAAGGGAATGAGGAGCAGAAGGGGCCCCCGGAGGGCTCCGAGACCATGCCGTACATCGACGAGTCGCCCACCATGTCCCCCCAGCTCAGCGCCCGCAGCCAGGGTGGCGGGGACAGCACCTCCCCCACCCCACCCGAGGGGCAGGCACCTGGGGTAGGTACACCTGCTTTTCTTTCTGGGTTTGGGGAAGGGGGACAGGAAGGCACGGGTGTTGTGGGCTGGGCTCTGCGGGACGATGAGGGGCGGCGGGACTGGGGAAATCTGGACCTGGCTGTTCCTGGTGCCCTCGCTTCTCATCCGGGGCCCGGCCCCTCTCAGGCCCAGCCTTCTCTCCCCCACCTGCTTTGCCATCCTTGCACCTGTCTCTCCTCCTCTGCCAGCGGTCTGCTCCCCAAGCCTCCTGCACCCCCACTTCCTCTTACGGCTTTCCTGGTCAGCCCCTCTCCTACCTAGCAGGATGGGGGAGCCCTGGAGAGGGTCCAGGCCATTGTCTCTGCACCCAGGCTGTGTAGGGGCTGCATATGTGACCTGTGGGCTGTAATGTTCAGATCTGGCCCCAGCAAGGCCAAGGCTGGCTGTGGTACTCCCTGGGGGATGGAATAGCTGCCTCTGTGGCTTTCCCCGAGGCCTGTGGGCCCCCTCCAGCCCTACTCTGCTCACTCTGGAAAGGAACAAGCCCTGATGGCGTCCACCTCTCCTCCTGTAAGCAGAGACGAGGGCTCTGCTCCCAGAAGTAGCACTGTATGAGGAATATTAAGTATGTGCTCTGTGACAGGACAGGGGATCAAAATGTGTGGAGGGTTCACAATCCTTGTCGTTAACGCTGTTCCTGGCGACAGGGAATGACTCCGTCTGGGCCCCACTTGTGTGTGCGCATCTGAGACACAGGAACAAGCAGGACAGAGATTCCTGAGGGTTTTTTTTCCCAGAGTTGGCGAAGTGTCGAAGTTGCTTCTCTTTGGTGGTGGGTGTGTTCTGTGGGGAGACTCAGAGTGCCCAACCCTGCTTGGTCTGTTCCAGGTGTGTTTTGTGGGGGGTCTCCTTTCTTCCCTCTGAGGTCCCTAGAGGAGCAGGCACTGAGAGATGCCGTGCGATGCTTTCTCCCCCCCACCAAACTGGGGCCTCGTACCCACCCCATCCAGCTGGAGGCTGCCTGGATGCTACATTCTTGAAAACCCCCAGCTCCTTCCCTCGCCAGCCTCCTTGGCCATCCTCCACTCTTCTGCAGAGCTCTCACCCCCTCTTCACACTCCGGGGTGGCTGTTATATAGCCTTTGGCAACAAGGGCCTTGGCAACCGGCTTCCCACTTGGGGGAAGCCACACTGTTGCCGTGGCAACAGAGGCCGAGGCAGAGCTTTAGCGGCTGCCAGGCAGTGCAAGTTTGGGAAGGGATGGTGGAGGGTGGGGAAGGGGGCAGGCAGGAAGTAGAGGGGATGGGTGAAGGTGTTGGTCAACTTCAGACCCCCCCCACAGCCACTATCCGGGGGCGTTGTTGCCCTGCCATCCTAAGGAGGGATGGCAGGTTAGTGACGGCCATCTTGGACATACAGGGGCAGGTTTTGTTTTTGCTACTGATGGAGGTGATGGTGTTCTGGGACCTGAACTGAGGCCTAAGAAGGAGAAAACTCTTGCTCCCCACACCTGCGTTCAGGTCTCAGACACAGCAGGGCTCAAAGGCCCCCTTCTCCACCCTCCTGGGGGACCCAGCTCTCACCCCACTGTGAGGGTGTGCAGGAAGATGCCCTGTAGAATCCCAGGGCGGAGGACCAGGGTCTTTGCCATTTCCTCTCCCCTCTCTGCCTTCCTCTTTGCTTCTTGTCCCTGGTTCCTTCCCTCATCACACGACCACCTTGCTGGAGCATCTGTCCATTGATCTGGAGATTCCCTGGTGAAAGGTACTGTCAGGTGCCTTTCCTAGTGGAACAGACCACAGACGTCATGGGGAGATGCTCCCACCTGGCACTCTGAGGCTTTGGGGGCAATGACTTCACTCTGGTTGCCCATTTTGCTTGGTGGCTCATGGGGGAATAATTTGGTTTGAGGACTTTGAAATCTAGACACACTACAGGAGAACAACCCACTAAAGTGCTTGGTGCCCCCAGAGTTGATTTTTACACCGTTAGCTAGGATCCACACAAGACAGGGGCAGGGAGCGTTTATCTAATTTGAGGATCCTGGTGAAGATTCCAGCTGCACCCCCTGCCTGCCCTGCCTTCCTTCCTGGAGAAACATTTCTGCCCTTTCCGCTTTGTCGCTGGCCCCACCTAGTGGGCTCTGCAAGTATTGCTATTTGCGTTGGGTGTCTGGAGGGAGTTGACACCTCTTTCTGAGTACTTGGGGATGTTTTGGTTAAAAATAATAAAAAACCAAGGTTTCTGCCACTTGGCTCTGCTCATTTGGCCAGGCATGTTCCCTCCTCTGCCAGGCAGGCCTCCTCCCCTCCCAGGCTTCCCGTTGGGGCCTTGGGAACAGAAGGGACTTTTGGGCCAAATCAGACAATTGTTCTAGATATTCAGATACTTGACCTCTGGCACAGTCTGATAACTGAGCCTTCCACGCCCAAATATGCAGCCAACTTGTGCCTGGAAGTCCAAGGTTTGGTCTTTGTGTTAGTCTTCTTCAGAGAAACAGAATTAATAGGGGGTGTGTGTGTGTGTGTGTGTGTGTGTGTCTACATATAAAAAGATTTATTAGAAGGAATTGACTTAGGTGATTATAGAGGCTGAGAATTCCCAATCTCTGCAGTCAATTGCTAGACACCCAGGAGAACCAATAAGTATTTCCAATCCAAGTCCAAAGATCTGAGAAGTAGCAGAGCTAATGATATAAACTCCAGCATGAAAGCCAGTAGGCTTGAGGACCAAGAAGAGCCAGTGTTTCAGTTCGAGCCCAGAGGCTGGAAAAGACTGGTATCCCAGCTTAAGTAGTCAGGCAAGAGGATCTCCCTCTTACTCTGCCTTTTTGTTTTCTTCAGGTCTTCAGTGAATTGGAGGAGGCCTACCCACATTAGGGAGGGCATTTGACTTTACACAGTCTACTGACTCAAATGTTAATCTCACCCCCAAACACCCTGACAGACATGCTCAGATTAACCTTTGGACAAATGTCTGGGTACCTTGTCAAGTTGACACAAAAAGGAATCATCATAGTCTCACTCCCTCAGCAGCCCAGAGGATAGAAAGAACATGAGCTTTGGATAAATGAAAATCTACTACCCTCTAGCTGTGCAACGTTGGATGGTTATCCTGATACCTCTGAGCCTGTTTCCTTGTCTCTCATTAGCTGTAAGTACCATGAAGGGGCACCGAGATAGCTCAGGGGCGGCCTGCAGCGTCAGCCTGGTCCTCACTGTGGTGCTCAGTCCTTGGTGACCAGGGCCCACAAGACTTTTCTCATCAGCTTTTCAAGGGATGGGGTACCAAGAGCATTGCAAGGACCCAGTCTAATAAATATTTGCTAGGCAATGACTGAATCTGCTTTTGCAGCCAACCTCCTTTCTGGGCTTGGCTTAGTCCCGCCAAGTGTGGAGGCCTCAGGTGAAGCCAGGTCTGTGTTTTTGGCAGGACACACGCTCCTCACTCCCCGACACGCCTCTCTATAGCCTTGCTCTCTGCTGTCATCTTAGTTTGTGTCCCCAAGATGTGCAATCCATAGAGGTATCAGGGTAAAATCTGAAGCCCTGCACCCCAGGCCCTCCCCAAGCCCAGGCTGAGCAGTACATTCTGGCAGGGCCAGGGTCACAACCAACAATTCAGTTCAACTGAGAGTGCCTGACCTCACCCTGAGAAGGAGAGGCAGGGACTCTCAGCCACAGCTGACAAGTGGGAGCATAGTTTCCTCAGCCAGGACCATGGTCTTACAGAAAAATCTTACTCCCCACAGGTCATAGGTCTGTCTCTTCTCTCTGGAAGCTCAGTAAAAAAAGGCCACAAGGCAGAGGAAGATCTGGATTCCTATCCCAGCTCTACCACTTTCTAGCTGTGTGATCTGAGGGATGTCACTCACCCTCTCTGAACTCCAGTTAGCTCACCTGTAAAGACACTGAGACTTTCCTCCCTCCTGACCTCGCAGCTGTTGTGAGACTTCTGTGAGATGGTGTCATGCCGAATGCTTTGTCAACTGTAAAGTCTATACACAGGCTCAGACTTCATCTGACTGGAAAATCCAAAGATGAGGGTGGAGGTGAATTGAAGTAGTCACCATTGCCTCTCGTCTTCCTCCTTCTTCTCTGCCTCCTCCTCCTCATCACAGCTACTTTGAGAGACTTGTGCTGAACCTTTTATATGTGTTGTCTTATTTAAAGTACATGCTAAAACTGTCTTCATTTTACAGTTGAGGAAGGTGAGGCCCAGAGATGTGACATAATTTGCCCAAGATTAGCTGGGTGCTGTGGCTCACAGCTGTAGTCCCAGCTACTCTGGAGGCTGAAATGGGAGGATCACTTGAGCCCAGGAGTTGGAGGCTGTAGGGAGCTATGATCACACCTGTGAATAGCCACTGCAGTCCAGTGTGGGTGACAGAGTGAGACCCCGTCTCTTAAATAAGGAGAGTAATCTGCCCAAGACCGGGCAGCCTGTGAAGCTAGACATTTATTTAAACTTGGGTCTTTGTGATGCAAGAGTCTGTGTGGCGCTGCCAGGTCCTGCTCAGATGCCCCCTCTCTTGTGAAACTTTTACAGCCCATCACGCATCCCTCCGCTGTTTGGGAGGAATGCAGCTTCTTATGGGGCACATCTGCCCTGTGAGATCGAGAGCCCCAGTCCGTGGTTGTCTCTGTGGTCCCTGACAGCAGCTTCCAGGCACCTGGGTTCTCAACCGGTGTTTGTGGAACTGAAGCAGATAGTTCTGGGAAGGCTGGTCAGGAGGAAGGGAGGGCAAAAACGCTGTGTCGGAGATACAGCTGGGAAGAACCGCTGCCTCCTCTTCCCTTTCTCGGTCCTTCTGAAGGCTTGTGCCTCAGCACTTGAGACAAGCCTTAGCACTTGAGACGGCAAAGCAAAGAGGTTGCTTTAAGGTGCATGATAAAGGCCACATGGGGAGCTGAGAGCTTCTGAAATTGCACCCCACTCCACTCCCTTCCAACTGTGCTCACAGCCTGGGTGGGGTGGGTCAGGGATGCCCGGGTGGGATCAGGGACGTGTCCTCCTCACGC